ATTTCTGGACAGTCTCAGTCAAAGGGCCATTGTCACTACCATCCTGTGACTGCAGGCTCAGAGTGGCCAGGTGACTTGCCCAGAGCCATGTGTGGTGATGCTGGGAATCAAACCAACCCTCCTGGCCTGTGCTCTCTGTTCATGGCTTCCTGGCATACGTGGTATTATTTATTCAACATCTAAGTTTCTTAGTGCTGAGTACTTTCAGAGCATAAATATAATCACGACTGTGAAATTCTAAGTGGTGGCCAGGATCCAGTGTGAATGTGGAAGTTCCATAGAAAGCCTTGATGGGGTATTGCACTTTCTCCAAAGAGACAAGGCATGAGGACACAGAGCTCAGAATGTAGCTGGATGTGTTCATGGCAACCAGGAGAGGAACTCAGAGGGGCTGGGACTGGTCAGTTTTAGACACAAGATGGAACCATAAGCAGCTGGTGGCTCCACCTACAGCAGGTGTGAGGGGAGAAAGCCAGGGAGGTCTGACAAGAGGAGGGGGGCATCCTAGAAAGTGGGTGGGGCAAAGAAATGGAAAATCCTGGTATCAGCATACTTCCCAAGACACCTACCCCAGGGCATAAGCTCCAACATGGGAGACTGCTGTGGGCAGAGGGATCCAAGCCTAAGGGGTCATCCAGACAGTCAACAAATCTTTACTAAGCTATTATTATGCACTAATGTTTTTCCCAGCTGAGAATATAGTTGTAAATGAGACCAATAAGACCTCTGCCCTCACAGAACATAGTCTAGTTAGGGGAGGCAAAAGAAAGCACAGCAATAGATAAGTACATTTAGACAGTGAGAAGTACTGAAGAGACCGAAGTGGTCAGAAGAGGCCTGAGATTCAAATGATGATCAAAGCCAGCATGCAGAGATGGGGATGAGAGTGGTCATCTCCAGCAGAAGCCCTTTCAGATGGGAAAGGGCTCATCAACCTAGGCTGGAGCAGGCTTGGACAGGCTTTCATTGGCCAATGGTGCACACCCCTCTTCAACTCTGAATTCAGTGATGGCATGCTAATGGCTTGAAATCAGCCATGGTGAGAGCATTTACACCATGGAAATTGGCAAAGCCATTGCCAATAGCTTAATTGGTAATTAAGATCATTACCTTCCCAGATCATCAAGAAGCCCAAGGCAGGATGAGGAGGATATTATCACAAAAACAGCAGGCTTTGTTCAGTGGCAGTGGACAAAGTCTCTGAGGGGTTTCAATCAGAGAGGTAACATAATTTGATTTTCATTTTGCCAAACAGATTCTACAAAACAAAGATTCATGTCCAAAGAACAGTAAGTGTGGGTAGGAGGAAGACTGATTTATCAGAATTGGGGGCCAGGCCTCTCCCCTGCCCCTGGCAGCAGCAGTAGCATAAGACCAGAATGAGGCCTATTGTTGCAATGTGTGTCTGCAGAGATGCCTAACATGGATCTAGAGGGGAAAGGGGCCTGAGCCTGCAAGTGCTGCTTTGCCTTTGCAGAGAAGGGTGACTGAAACCTTGGCCACCTGCAATGGGATGGCCATGTCAGTCTACTTCATTTCCAAAGGGATGGCAGCAGCAAGCTACAGAAGCCTCTGCATCTCTACAGATGGAACCCATGGTTTATCCAGCATGTTCCTCAGGGCGATAAGTGTTTCCAAAGTGTCTGTAAGTTTCCACACCAAAATGGCTGCATTTTTGCCACTGGCAAGTTCCATGTGGCATCTGACCAGCATTGTCACTTAAACTGCACACAGTGAATAAAACAGGTGCCTCTTCACCTTGGCTGCATGTGAGAACTGCTGGTGAGCTTTCCCACACCAGACCAATTAAACCAAGAGGTTTTTCTGGTGATGGGACCAAGCCTCAGCATTTTTGAAAGCTCTCTGGGTAATTTCAAGGTGTGGCCCAAGTTGAGAACCTCTGGAATAGAAGGATTTCTGTAGAGTAAAAGGCCAAGTATTTTTCCACATATTGCCTTGGGAGTGGACTCTATTGGCAGGCAATTCCAGGCATAATGACAGTGCCTTGTGCCACTCTTTTGGATACTGAGTGAAACTCCTAAGTTCTCCACTGAATTGGACCAAAATGCAGTAAGAGGCTAACTATTGCATGACTGGCTTAATCACTTGTCCTTCTGCATTAACTGTGGACTGATTTAATACAGCAGCTGCCAAAATTCCCAAAGAATTTTAAATGGCTAAGCCTCCTTTTCTGGAGGTCCAGTCCCTTTTGCATATCAGAGATGATGAATAGGTTCCAGCCATGCTCCTTGGTAGCTGAGAGGAGTCCCATCAGTGGACCCCAGAAGTGTCAGGTGAACAGGTATAATCAGGTGGCTAGGCATTACATGGAACAATAAAGAGGGTGTGAAATGTTTCTCTTGTATTTTTAGGTAAAGTACAGGGAGGACAGATGTCAAAGGAAAATGAGGTTAATGCTGGTACTTTGTATTCTGCTTAAAGAATAAAGCATGTAGCATGGTAAAACAAACTAGTGCTATTCTGCCTCTACACAACCTGGCAGAGAGGAGTTATAGAAAGAACACAGGCTTTTGAAAAATGTGTTTATTCACTGAACACATATTCTCTGGTCCCTGCTCAGTGCCACAGGGTAGAGTATTGCTCTGGTGTTTTGCCCTCCTGGCCTCTTGAGCTGACTTCAAAGTGGAGGAGAGAGCCAAGAATCAAGCAAGCAAATGGTAAATTGCAATGTGCAGTGAGAGTTCAGTGCAGGTCAGAAAGGCCCAAGAGAAGGAGATCACAGCAGGTGAGGTGGAGAAGAGGCCTTTCTGAGGTGACATCTTTCCTGAGACCCAGGCATGAGGAATAACCACCAGAGATCTATCAGAGAGCACTATAGGGAGAAGGGGATGTCAAAGTCGAAGGCCCTAAGGTGGAAAGAACTGGGTGCTGCTGAAGAAATGACTAGAAGCCCCTAGTGAGGACAGGGAGATGAGCTGGGGATATAGCCAGAAGGAGTGACAAGGAGGCAAGGAACAAGATGACTTGTATTCTGAGCCTACTGGTAGCCCATTGGAGACCTGAAAGCCAGGTGCTGACATGCTCTGATCTACCTCTTACCAACTTTCTTTGTGACTTGGGCAATTAACTTCTCTGATTTTCACTCTCAGCTGTAAAGAAGATAAACAATGACATGATTTTGAGTATTGTAACTCTTGTATATGGAGTTAATAGAGGAACCGACACATAGTAAATGTTCAATAAAATGGCAGCTGCTGTTCTCCTTCTTCCCTGCCTCTACCTCATTAGCAGAAATTGAATGGGTGTGTATCACAGCAGTCACTTCTTGCTTGAAGAAACTCTAACATCTCATGGGTCTTATGCTAAACATATGAGTTTTGACAGTTGTGTGTTTAAAATCTAAATCCCCTATCATAACTCTACCACTGCTGGGCTGACACCATCCAGTGTAGAAGCCATGGTAAGCTATGTGCCATGGACGCTATTGTTTGTGTCCCAAAGCACTCATGCCTCATTGAAGGTTTTCCTGGGTGACTGAGACCCCAGCCAAATTCTGCTTCTAGCTCCTGAGGTTTCTTCTGCATGGATCTTAGGTGAAAATATAGCCGTTTATTTTATTTTATCTTTGCCATTTTTAAAATTTTTAATTGTTGTTCAAGTACAGTTTTCTGCATTTTACTTCCATCCCAGCCCACCCCCCCAGCCCTCCTCACCTCACTTTCATTTCCACCCCCCCTTGGTTTTGTCCATGTGTCCTTTATACTTGTTCTTGTAAATCCATCCTCTTTCCCCTTGAAATTCCCTCCCCTCTCCCCTCTGATAGCTGTTTATTTTAAAACCTCACAACCTTTGTCGTTTATCCATTCATTCAAACAGCATTTGCAGAGTATCCTCCAAGAGCTCAAAACTATGCTAGTCACTAAAGAAAAATGAGAGAGAAGCCTGCATGTCCTCCACCAGTGGTGGAGACAGGTAGAAAGCAACTGTTACCCATCCTGTAACAGAAGGATTACAGAGGCCCAGAGCAGAGACAAGACAGCCTTTCAGAGGGCATAAAATCTTTTTCAGAGGGGAACCTTAAGGATCAGTCTTGAAGCGAGGAGAGGAGTTTGCCAAATGGAGAGAGAAAGAGGATAATAAAAGTCACACACATAAGGCAAAAACCAGCAGCCTGTGGAAGAATGAATGTGTAAGTACAGTTATTCTACACAAAAATAGAAAGAATTATATGTCAGTTAGGATTCTTCTCATTGCAAGTGACAGAAAATCCAATGACTTCAACAACAATAAAAGGCAAGGTGAGGGAGAATGCTGGGTTCAGGTCCAGCTAGATTCAGAGTTCAAATACATTTGGGACTTGGTGGCCCTCCTTTACATGGTTCTCCTCTGCTGGATAACCTCATAGTTCAGTTTGGGCCAAGTGGCTAGAGCCATTCTAAGCCCACAGCCTCCAAGGCTAGTCTAGTGGGGAAATGAAAACACCTTCTCATGACCATGTAGGCCAAAGCTCTGGGATCTAAGCTCTGATTGGAACAGTCAGAGAGCTCTGATTGGAACAAGAAAGCTTGGCTCAAGTCGCATACCTATACCTCAACCAGTCACTGTGAGTAATCATGGAATACCCTGATTGGCTTAGGGCTGGTCCATCTGGGCAGCTTGGCTAGGGAGGAAACCAGCACCAATGGAGGGCCTGCCATGTGCCAGAGTTCTGTCTGGCATGTTGGTATAAATTAGCACCTATGACCCTCACCACACCTTTCCAGAGGAAGAGACTGTTATTACTATTTTACAGGTAAAGAAATGAAGCTTCAGGGATGTGTACTGTGCCTCTGAGCTCACAGTAGGGCCGAGATTTGGACTCCATTCTGTGGAACCCTGAAGCTTAGCATTCTAAGAGCAATCCCCTTTTACTTACTGATGCATTTAGTCTGTGATCTGGTCTTGGATTTGTTGCTGATGTCATGAAACTTCGGACTGCTTAAGCTGCAGCCTCAGTGATCCACCACCTTCCTAACCTGGCTCCCCTCTTATACTTGCAGAGCCCTCATCTTTGTGTCCCATGGAGCCGGGGAGCACTGTGGCCGCTATGATGAGCTGGCTCAGATGCTAGTGGGACTGGAGCTTCTGGTGTTCGCCCATGACCATGGTGAGTACCCCCAGGGCTAGAGTGATCAGGGCCCATGACTCTGGCCAGTGCCTGACAGTTCAGGGGTCTAGAAAGGTGTATAGTACATCTTACCTTCATCCTTCATCTTCCTCAGTTATTCTCTTCCGAGTCCTGCATTGAAACTGGAAAAGATGTTCTCCGTGGGATGTTTCTAAGTTAAAAAAATACGTAGTTATGTAAATAAAAAGTATGTATGACCAGCGGTTTCTGTTGAGTTTGGAACCTCCACTGGAAAACCAAAACGGAAATATGTTTATATAAGAACTTTACCCAGGCCAAGTAATACTCTCTTACATTTATAGTGAGCTTTCTTTATAAAATGGGCCCTGGTTTTCTCCGAAGTGACTTCAGATGGATGTGGTACCATCAACAAAAGGGCAATTTAAACTGTGTTTTAACCACAGAGGGTTTACAAAGAATTTCAAACCAGGAGAATAGTAAAAGTGTCAAAAGACCATGTTGGTCATGCAAAAAACCAAACACCATGCACACACACACACCTACATATCCATACACTTATACACATACATGTCCTTAGGCTGAGTTTTTGATTCTTTGTCATGTAACAAAATCCACAATAACCATAAAAGTGTAATGTTGATAGACTAAGTCAGTATGTAGTTCCTTAATCATTTCTGTGACATTCTCCATGGCTGAGAAGGGTCTCAATATAGGTCTTTCTTTGCCTAACAGTCTTTAAAAATTAAGGGTTTTCTGTGCCCAAACATTGTCATCCTGCACTCCTGTGTGTTATCAGTAGCACATTGCTGGAAACTTTACCCCAGACAGCACAAACATACCTGGGTCTAAGTCCTCACTGGATTGTGCTATCTTGAAGACCATGTTTAACCATTGCAAGCCCTCATTTTCTCATCTACCAAATGGGCAAGATAGGTCTGTAACATAATAAGTATTGTCATGAGATAATGCATGTAGAGGGCCCAGCAGAGTGAGGTACCTTCTTCCCCTTTACTCTGTCTTCTCTGAGATCTCCTCTACCCCACAATGCAGACCAGCTGGTGTGCTGTGTACCCAAAAGGGGGACTCTGAGCAGGATCTGCTAAGCCAAGGCTGAAAGTCAGGGGCATTGGCTTCTTGTCTTAGTGTTGCTGCCCATAGCCAGGTCATCTGTCAGTCCTGCAGAGGCTGCTATGAAGCTAAAATGAAATAATAGGTACAAAAATGTTTTACACAGTAAACAGAACTAGTAAGAGTGGTTTTGTTGCTGATTTCTATAACACAATTTGTAGAAACACAGGTTTCTGTAAATCTAATGCTAATTGGATCTTAAATTGTATTTTTCAGTTATATTACAGAATTTTATTGTTTGGGTAGAAATCTCAAGACACTGTGATTATGTCAGTCTGGCTCTATTTCTCAACATACTTGGCAGACTGGCATGCACAGAAAGGTGCCCAGTATTTCACTTAAGTTTCTTTTCCATTTTCACCTTAGAATTGTTCAGGTTCACCTCACGGCCATGAACAGTTTGCCAGAAATGAGAATTACGATTCCTGACATTTATTGAGTGCCAACTGCATACCAGCCTCTGTTTCAGGCATTTTTGTACATTATCTTTAATCTCTCATAACGGTGAATATTATAACTTTATTTTAGAGGTGATAATGCTGAGGTTGCATAGCTAGGGGAGCCTACTGTCATTACACCAAGACACATGGCAGTTCGTGGCAGTTTGACTGTATGCAACAGAAATCTGACAATAGTAAGTTAATGAATAAAAGGTTATTTTTTCTCATGCTACACAAAGTCTGAAGCAGGTGTGAGAATGCCAAAGTGCCATCAATGCCCAAGGCTCCATCTGCAATTTTGCTCAGTTGTTCTTAGCTTGTGGCTCTTATGCCCAAGGATGCCATTTCTCCTCATCTTCTAAGCAGAAAGGAGACACAGAAGCAACACAGAGGAAGGGATTAGACTCATATCAGGAAAGCAAATTTTTCTTCGAGCTCCCTGACATATTCCAGCTACATTTCATTTGCCAGCACTGCATAAAATGGCTACCCCTAACTGCAAGGGAGGCAGAAAAATCTAATTTGTTAACTGCATATTTGCTGATCCAAATAAAACAAGGTTCTGTGAATAAAAAAGAAGTAAAGAATGCATATTGCTAGTAACCATCTTGTCTTCTGCCATACTACACTCCAAGTTCATTATTTGAGAGAGCAATTCTCAACCATTTCTTTTTTATGTTTTCTGTAATATCTATCCCTATGTTCTTTCATGAAGTTTTGATGCAAAGGTTATTATTAGCATCATCAGTAAGGAGTAGTTAAAGTTCCTAATTAGCCCTGGATTAGGTGTTATACAAGGAGAAATGCAAGGAGACAGTAACTGATGTCTTCATGGTACAGTGACCTATCTTAACTGGAAAAATTAAGCAGCCTCTATTAAGTGCTCAGGTTTGTTAGAGTATTATCCTGAGTGGTAACTATCTCCTCATGGTAGAGGCAGCAAGCTCCTGGCAAAGACTGTCTTATTGTGTCATGTGTTAGCTTCTTTCTTTACCCTCACAACCTTCTAATATGCTATATGGGTCCCAGGACTGAGCAGGGAGTAGCGGCATCATGAGTGGTTATTGAGTATATGAATGAATGAGTGAAGGGTTTATGATCCAAAATAATGGATCAGACCAGAAATGTTTCAAATAGCAATAGTAAAGAAAGTATCCACATTAGCAGGGCACTATTGAGTCTTATCCTTATGAAGAGGATCCAGCACAGTGGCCACTGGAACTCTGAGTCTGGTGGCCAAGGTTGAGGCAGAGGTAGCAATAAAGTAGAGTTAAAAAGTGATGCCCTGGCTGGCATAGCTCAGTGGATTGAGCGCGGGCCTGTGAACCAAAGAATTGAGGTTCGATTCCCAGTCAGGGCACATGCCTGGGTTGCAGGCCAGTTCCCAGCAGGGAACGCACGAGAGGCAACCATACATTGATGTTTCTCTCCCTCTCTCCTTCCCTTCCCCTCTAAAGATAAATAAATAAAAATCTTTAAAAAAAGTGATGTGGATGGAGGCTGAGGCAGAGGTAAGATACTGAATCTCAGAGGCACAAGGCTATCCCAATGCCTGGAGGGCTGGCAAGGTGACTGGGTCCTGTCAGGTGAGTAGGAGCTTGCCAGAAGAAGAAAGAATGTAGAAAGAGGCACCAATCATCAAGAGGTGTGGTTCTTACATTTTCTGCCCATTAAAAAATACTAAGGAATCTTATAAATACTGAAGCCTGGGTGCCCTCTCTCTGCAGAGACTGATCTCTTGAGGGGGTGAGGGGTGGGCGGGGTTTGTGTAGCTGGAGCATCAAGGTTTTTAAAAATCACCCAAGGCTGAGAACTAACATTCCAGTTAGAAGAGGTCAAAACAACAACCCAGCCCTGGCTGGTGTGGATCAGTGGATTGAGCGCTGGCCTGCAAGCCAAAAGGTCCCCAGTTTGGTTCCCTGTCAGGGCGCATGCCTGGGTTGTGGTCCAGGTCCCTGGTTGGGGGTGTGTGAGAGACAACCAATTGATATATCTCTCACACATTGCTGTTTCTCTCTCTTTCTATCTCCCGAAAGAAAGAAAGAAAGAAAGAAAGAAAGAAAGAAAGAAAGAAAGAAAGAAAGAAAGAGAGAGAGAGAGAAAAAGAGAGAGAAAAAGACAGATACACCAGATCGCATACTTATATCATGTTCAGGTAGAAATCCTGGCTGGCACAAGGGTTTAGCTAGACCCTCATGTTTATGAACAGAAACAGGGGGAGCCCATGCTGGCACAGTTCAGGGCTCTGTAATAAGTCCTTTTGGACTTGGATCTTGTGGAGGAATTTAAGCCAGGAAAGATAGGATGGCTGTTGGATGCAGTGAAGGCTATTGGAACCATCAGGAAATGGGATCCAGGACAGGGCCCAGTGAGGAAGAGGCGTGGGTCAGCAGAAATGGAGTTGCTGCAGAGACATCTGAACAGGTGGAAACCACAGTCTGGGATTTTCTGTGCCACTCTAAATATAGCACAGAGAGAAATGGGGCTCTCTTACCAGCCTGTCCCTCAGTCACCAGCTGCTCTTGGTGACTCACTAGAAACCCCTCAGCCTTCATGTCAACCAGAGAGGCAGTGTGACCAAGAGAGAGGGGTGAAGGAGGCAATGTGGGTGGAGGGAGATGGGACAATGAAGCCGCATCATCCCTGAAACAAGCAAGTCTGGCATGTCATTTAGGCCCCAGGTGACAAGGCTGTTGGCCAGGTCACCCTTCCCAGTAAGCAACCTCCTAATTCTGTGCAGTGGCCCACTTAAAATTACTTTTGCTGGGGCTGGAATGCTCTCTTTTTATTTAAATAGTATGGAAAAATCATTCTCAAATGATTAACAGTGAATTGATTATTTGCAAATCTTTGAAGGACAGTGTTAAAGGAAGACTATTTTGTTTTTGTTTGGGGTTATTATTATTTTTTGGTGGCTTAGATGCATTTTATTGGTTTTCTTTTAGAGTTTGGTTTTTTTTGTTTGTGTTTCTTAATTTAATTATTGTTCAAGTATAGTTTTCTGTTTTTAGAGTTTGTTTTTTTTTAAAAAACTATCTTGGAGTATATGAGAAGAGAAAGTTCTGGGGGAATGTTTGTGGGTGGCAGTTAAGCCTGAGTAACTTTGGAGGGGGGCTACCCTGTGCAGAGAAAAGTATTTAGGAAATTCTGGGGAAAGAATCCCCATCTTTCCATCTTTCTATCTTTAGGAATGATGATATGTATGTTTTCCATGCAGGTAGACATGTTTGGGTCAAGGCACTTTGCTGGATATATCCTAAAATAGACTTCCATCAATTACAATAATATATTTTTGTTTGAAATGTTTCAAAATAATGTTAATGATTTTTCTTATCTTAGTAAACATGAAAGTTAAAATAGTAGAGTGAGTGGCCCTGTGATGCTTCACAAGACCCAACCCTGGGTTAGGGTTCGTGCACTCTCTCCAAGTGCCTCAGGCATGCTGAGCTCAGTTGTGCCGCCTCTCTCTTTGAGGTCTCTGCAGTTCCCTTCCTCACCACCTTTATTCCTGTTTTAGTCATAGTTAGGCATACCCAAACCTTCAATCTTGGATATAAATGTCTGATATGAATTTATTTGGTCAATTGGTTCTTTATTGAATAAAGCAGAGGCTTCCATGAGCCTCAATTTACTCATCTATAAAATGAGGATAATAATAAAAGTTACCTCATGGTTGTGGGATAAAATGGGAGAAAGAAGTGTTTAACTCTCCCTGGAAGGCTTATGAAAACCCAGATGGCTGAGCCCCAGATGGCTGGCTTCTCAGACTGTTGGATTATACTGGGAAAATTCCAGGAAGAAGGAAGCCAGGGTCACTATAGGTGTTTCTTGTGTAGAGTTTAAGTAAGGTGCAGTGTAGATGCAGTCAAAATTGAAAATGTAGTATTTGCAATAAGCAGATTTAGCATCTCCTGCAGCAGATATTGTATGAGAACCTACTAGGTGGAGAGTTTGTACTGGGTGTGGGGATATGAAAATGACAGACCTAGGTACAGCTTCCAAGAACCCAGTATAGTGAAAGGGACAGATATGCTTTAAAAGAACAGTGAGCAAAGGAGCTTATTAAAACACCCAGGTGGGAGTGTGCAGGAGGTAAAAGAAAGAGAGGCTGAGTCTCCCTTATGGAGTGATCATCCAAAAAATCTTCATAGGACATGATACCTGTGACCTTGGACAAATCACTGCTCCGCACTGAGCCTCAGTTTCCCCACCTGAATCATAGTATCTCCTTGGTAGGATTATATAAATGTGGTAGTTGCTGGGCATGTAGGTGTTCAATAAATATCCATCCTGCACTTCCCTGACACAGACCCACTTCTCTCTTCACTATGCATTTGGCATGATCTTTGAGGCAAGAACTTTCTTTGTCATTTTCCTCAGTTTCTATTTTTTCTGTGGCAAGTTGCTCACACTTCCTGTTTTATTTAATCTGAAAGCAGTTCAGCCCACAATGGGGCTATTCTTGCCATGTGTCACTATCATAGAAGCAGCCTCTATATCAGCATCTGGGGGTTTTCCTCTGATGATGTCTGAAGTAGTCACCTCTGGCTTTCTACCCACTGTTGAGGTCATTTTTACAAATATTTAGGAAGTGCTTGCTGTGAAGATACACCAAGAGTGCTCAGTGAGTCACATGTAAGTCAGACACATGATTTACAGGCAAGTTTGTAGTCTGAATCGTGAGTTAGTTGTAGGGACTTTGAAAGCCAAATTGATGTTTCCAGAAATCCAGTACCACCTTTTCTCATTTCAGTGATGGAGTTGCCTGATGATTTGCCATCTAGTTATCTCTCAAAAGGACTTTGAAAGTGTATATGTTTCTTCAAAATTATTTATATAGCTTCTGAAATGGAAATATTTAAGGTTTTCTGGTGACAAGAAGACAGACATCACTTTTTGTCTCTTGAATAAGCCACTTCTGAAGTATTTATATACTTTATGGAGGATAAAATAAAGTCAAATTATTACATGTGAAGCTGTGTTAAGAAGAAAGCTTGAATAATTCTGAGGAAGAAAATTCTTCTTAAAAGAGGGTGCTGTTTGTTGTGGTTTGGGAAGTTGGATAAGAGGTACCTAATTACAGACTTTGGCCCAGATGGAGGCATAGGTGGAAATACTGTACCCCCTTGCACAACCAAAATTAAGGACAACAAAGATTTAGAAACAAAAACACAACCAGAACAGACAGAAAATTGAACTGTACAGAAGTCTGACAACCATTCAAGCAGACGGGTAAGAGGGGATGAATTGGAGGCCAGCAGAGAGGGTTCTTGGCAAGAAAAGGCCATGGCTGTCAGACTGAGGAGCACAGGCGGCACAATGCTGACCATGGCATGGTCACACATTCACACACAGATAAACTAGGCAAAAATGAGCAGTGAGACAGACTGCACAACCCAGGGCTCCAGCACTGAGAAATAAAGCCTAAAAGCATGGATTGAAAAGGTGCCAGGAGAGACTCCCAGCCCCACAGGAGAATTTGTTGGAGCGACCCACAGGGTCCTAAAATGTACACAATCCCACCCACCCGAGAACCAGCATCAGAAGGGCCCAATTTGCTTGTGGGAAGCAGTGTAGGGGACTGAAATCTGAGGGAGAGCAGAACAAGCACCATTGTTCCCTGTCAGACCTTGCCCCCACATACAGTATCACAACCCCGCAACTGGGTAGCCCTGCCCTGGTGAACACCTAAGGCTCTGCACCCTCATACCTAACAGGCGTGATGTGAACAAAAAATTATGGCTCAAACAGAAGAACTAATCAAAGCCCCAGATCCAATACTTTTAAGTGACCAAGAGATAGCCAACCTATCAGATGCATAGTTCAAAACACTGGTGATCAGGATGCTCACAGAACTGGTTGATTTTGGTCACAATTTAGATGAAAAAATAAAGGCTATGCTAAGTGAAATGAAGGAAAATGTACAGGGAACCAATAGTGATGGAAAGAAAACTGGGACTCAAATCAATGGAGTGGACCAGAAGGAAGAAAGAAACAGCCAAACAGAAAAGAATGAAGAAATAAGAATTCAAAAAATGAGGAGAGGCTTAGGAACCTTCAGGACATCTTTAAATGTTCCAAAATCCGAATTAGAGGGATACCAGAAGGGGAAGAGGAAGAGCAACAAGTGGAAAACTTATATGAACAAATAATAAAGGAGAACTTCCCCAATCTGGCAAAAAAAAAAAAAAATAGACTTCCAGGAAGTCCAGGAAGCTCAGAGAGTCCCAAAGAAGGTATACCCAAAGAGGAACACACCAAGGCACATCATAATTGCATTAGCCAAAATTAAAATGAAGGAGAGAATCCTAGAAGCAACAAGCGATAAGGGGACAGTCACCTACAAAGGAGTTCCCCTCAGACTGTCACTGGATTTCTCAAAAGAGACTTTACAGGCAAGAAGGGGCTGGAAAGAAGTATTCCAAGTCATGAAATGCAAGGACATACATCCAAGATTGCTCTATCCAGCAAAGCTTTCATTTAGAATGGAAGGGCAGATAAAGTGCTTCTCAGATAAGGTCAAATTGAAGGAGTTCATCATCACCAAGACCTTATTTTATGAAATGTTAAAGGAACTTATCTAAGAAAAAGAAGATAAAAAATATTAACAGTAAAAGGATAGAAAACTCACAGTTATTAACAACCACACCTAAAACAAAAGCAAACTAAGTATACAGCTAGATCAGGAGCAAAGCCACAGAAATGAAGATCATATGGAGGGATAGCAACAGGGGAATGGGAGGAAGAGAGAGGGGAAAAGGTACAGAGAATAAGTACCATAGATAGTAGGTAGAAAATAGACAGGGGGAGGGCAAGAGTGAGTAGTGTGGGAAATGTAGAAGCTAAAGAACTTATGACACATGGACATGACTAAAGGGGGGGAATGTGGGCGGGAGGGGGTGTACAGGGTGGAGGGGAATGAAGAGGGGGGAAGGGCACAACTTTAATGGCGTAATCAATAAAATACATTATTTTTTAAAGAGAGGTACCTAATTATAATGTATACATAGGTTATATTTGGAAGTAGAGAAAAACACAGACCTTGGCATCTGAAAGTCCTGATTAGTCAGTTCAACCACCTTCTTTCTGTGTGACAGTAGGCAAGTTACCTACCTCTCTGAACCTCAGTTTTCTCATCTACAGCAAGAGGAGAATTATAGTCTCTATCTGGCCCATAAGGTCAGTGGGGGGTTTAAGTGAGATAACCTGCATAGAATGCCTGGCTCAGCATAAGTTCTCTATAAATATTGACTATGATGAAGTGACTACTTATTAGTCTTAGAAACACACCTGAGTTTGACACTAGTTCTAGTTTCACACTACCTAATGTGTTTTTCAAATTTGAAAAGTGGATGTAATATTACCTATCTCCTAGGGTATTTATAAGAGTTCTCACATAAGGAGATATTTCTATTTAATTAATATTTATTGTACCCCTGAAAGTCCACACTAAAGCTTTTTCACTGTTGCTTTATTTGACTCTCATGACAGCCTTGAAGCAAATACAGTTATTATTACAGATGAGAAGAGCTCATGAACACCCTGGAATGCTTCTTCTTACCCACCAGGACAGCAATAACTGTGGGCCAAGACTCTCCTGGCATTTCCCATTCTTCATCTCATTTATTCTACACACAGACCTATAGTATAGACCAGAAATTTTCAACCTTTTTCATCTCATGGCACACATAAACTAATTACTAAAATTCTGCAGCACACCAAAAACATTTTTTATTGCTAATCTGGCAAAGAAGTAGGTATAATTTTGATTCATTTACACTGGACTGCTATTGTGTCAGCTGTTGTTATTTTTTTTGTTTGACAATATAAGGAAGAAGAGGTCAATACCCTTGATTAAATAGCCATGTGCAGCATGTTTTAAAGTTTTTTGTGGCACACCAGTTGAAAATCTCTGGTCTAGATGTTTTCATGCCCATTTTCCAGACTGGAAAGCAGAGAAAAGGCACACAGATGAGGTGAGGCAAGCTTGGGTTCCTTCTGTTACAGCTCTGCAGCCCCAGAGTCCTTATTCTCTGCCTCCCTGCAAAGGTGACGAAGATGTTCTTCCTCCTGACACTTCCTGGAGCCCAGGTAGTCTGCTGCATGGCCAGATATACCTAAAGAAAAGCATGTTCTCCAGTCCTTCTTATATTATGTCAGAGGCAGTTCTTGCATTTGGGAAAAGAGAGGAGGACAACCGGTCTGGTGGTGGTGTTTAGTCACCTCAACAAACAAGCTTGGGTGCTACCTGGGGGGCCTGTGCTGGGATTGGAGATGGAGGTCATCATCATAGGGCTGGGTAAAGCCACAAAGTCTAGGAGAAGCAGGGGGCGCCTACAAGATGGTCAGGAGGGAGGAAAATTTTAAGAGTGGGAGGAGTAGGCTCTTTGTAGCGGAAACTTGAACTGTAACTCAGACATGCCAGGCAGAGTAGGGTGGGAGAAAGGGCATCATGATCCCAAGGAGCAGCTGGGTAAAGGCTTAGAAGCAAGAGCAGGACACAGGCCAAGCTTCCCTGTCATGGGCCAGGCACCATGATCCATAGGCGTGTCTTGTACTTTAAAGGTGAGAGTACAGTAATCCCTTCTTATCCGTGGTTTTACTTTCCAGGGCTTCAATTACCAGTAGTCAACTGTGGTCTGAAAATATTAAATAGAAAATTACAGAAATAAACAATTGATAAGTTTTAAATTGTGTACCATATGAAGTCTTTTCCATCCCCGCCATCCCGCCCACTACATCAATCATCCCTTTTTCAGTCTCTCCACACTGTATATACTCCCTGCCAATTAATCACTTAGTAGCCATCTCATAATCAGATCAGCTGCTGCAGTATCACAGAGCTTGTGTTCAAGTCACCCTTATTTTACTTCATAATGGCCCCAAAGCACAAGAGTAGTGATGCTGGTAATTTGTATATGCCAAAGAGAAACTGTAAATGCTTCTTCTAAGTGAAAAGGTAAGCACAGTATAATATGTTCAGAGAGAGGGAGAAAAAGACCACGTTCATATAAATTTTTTACAGTGTACATAATTATATAATTACAGTGTTATAATTATTCTACTTTATTGTTAGTTATTGATGCTAATACTTCACTGTGCCTAATTTATAAATTTAACTTTATCATAGGTATGTAGGTATAGGAAAAACATAGTACAGGTATATATGGGGTTCAGTACTATCCATGGCTTCAGGAATCCATTGGGAGTCTTGGACTGCATCCCCTACAAATAAGAGGGAACTGCTGTACTGGGCTTTGGAGACGCAGAAGGCTGGGTCACATGGTAGGAAGAGCACACCGGATTCCCTGCGCTATACAGGATTGCTGTTGTTGGGAAGACACCTTTGGGTTGAATGGCCAAATCCTGAGGCTTGGTGACCAGGTGTGAGTGGGAATTTGGGGATGACTGTTCAACCTTTTGGGGAGGAGGGGCAATGTGCTGCTGCCAGAAGCTTCTCCTATAGCCCACACCAGGCCTCCAAGGCAGGGGTTGTAGCTGCTGTCATATCAGTCAGCTCCTAGATTCCTATTGCCATCTTTAAGCCCTTTATATTGCAGACAATGGCTGAGGATATCATGAGGCCCTGAAGTGTCAGCTCCCTCTCAAAATACAGCTTTGTGCAGATACTGGACCACCTCTGACACTAGCTGCTGGCCTGCCCAGGTCCCCATCAGAGGGACTTGGCAATGCCCACCTAGCTAAACTTGCAGCCCCAGCTCTCACTTCAGGCAGTTTTTCCTCACCCTCATATCCCACATGCTCCTGTCACACTTTTTACTTGCTTGAGAATAGTGCATCTTCCACTGCATACTTCTAGTTATCCATTTGTATGTTTGCTTCCCCATCTAAGCACTCAGCTCTTCCAGCACCAGAACCAGGTATTATTTTCCCCCTATATCCCTAGCACAGCTGAGATTCTGGTCACTGACTGAGGGAAAGCAGAATGACTGTGAAATAAATAAGCTTAGTAACTGCCTGAGGACAATGCGTGTCTTCACTTCTCCAGTAGGTGTTTCATCTCTGAGTTTCAGGACAGGGGAGTCATAGTAGGGAGAGAAGGGGGATGGGGGAAGGAAGGAAGTTTGAGAGACTCCTCAGAGGCCAGGGTCATGGTGGCCGAGCTTAAAACAGAGTAAGAAATTAACACCACCCAGCATCTGGACTGGGTCAGCAGTAGGACATGTCCAGGTGCATCTTGTGGCTTGATAGGGGTCCCTACCTGGTTGGCAGGGTCCATGATCAAGCAGCCTTGGCTGCAACAGGCCTCTGGGAAACAGAGGGCATAATCCTGGGTATGACTGTAGGCCTGGCTGAATCAGGACTAGCCTTGAACTTGAGTTGTCTATATCATCATAATGACTGGATGCTGGCCAGGCGTTATTAGTTTCAGTGTGGCTTCATGGTATCAGAAGTATTGGTGCTTTTAGTGGTCATTTTATAACACTATCCATCAGTGCTTCAGCAGATGTCCTCATTGGTGTCTTACAAACTCAGTTTGGCAATGATGAGCCCCCCCTGGAGCCTTTTCTCGTCAGGCACACTGGTTCCTGGACACTGGGCCCACTGCAGGCAAGCCTAGCAGACCTAAGGGTACACCAACATGTGCCCTGCATTACATTCCATGAGGCTCTCTCCCATGCACGGACACCTTCTAAATTGAAACAATATGCACCTGGCTTAGGTAACAACTACCATGAATTATTATTTCCTACCTGTAAATATTGACTATTTTCCTAAAGACATTCAAGTCGGGCGGATTAGGCTTCTGTCTCCAGTCAGAATTAGTAACCCACAGACTTTTCCAGCACATGTTGAGACAAAGGAAAGGAGAATAACCTAACACAGCTGCCCAAGGTGAGAGGCAGATTTGGAAGCAACCGCCCTGCCTAGGTTTAAATCCCACCTCCTCCATTCACTGGCTGGCTACAAGGCAGGACAAGACCCTGAAAATTCTGTTTCCTCTCTGTGATGTGGCAATGTACAGTACCTGAATGTTACTATCTATACAGCCCTTAACACAGGACCTGGCCCAAAAGATCATGTCAGCATATGGTGCCTATTCTAATATACATACTCCTAACTGAAACTAAGATATGAGCATAATTACAATCACATATTAGTCACCCACAAGCAGGAGGCCACAGTTAACCTACAAGGAAGACCTGTCTTTTCACTCTAGGGTATGGGGGCAGGTGGTATGTTCTAGGTCCCACCAAGCATGGCTGGCAGGTTTGGTTCAGGACTCCAGCTTCCCAGGACTGTCTACATATGTGGCTCCCAGGCTTGAAAATTGCTGCTGCCCTTTGGTAAATTAACATTTAAAATAACTCTGTCCCTGGCCAGGTGGCTTAGTTGGTTGGAGTGTCATCCCATACATCGAAAAGTTGCTGTTTCAATTCCCAGTTGGGAGGCAACCAACCAATGTTTCTCTCTCACATCAATGTTTCTCTTTCTCTCTTTCAAATCAATAATTTAAAAAAATCACTGGGTAAGAATTTTAAAAAATTAAACACCCAAAATAAAATAACTCTGCAGATGGACCAGGAAAGGAAGCTACTCCAATTATTAAACAGGTAGAGCCAAGCTGGCTGCATTTAAACATGTTCTTGGGAGAGGCTGTGTGACTCTGTGGGGCCCACATGGAATGCTTAGGTTTGCAGTGGGGGGAGGCTGCCTGAGGGAGGAGCATCCTCTGTGAGCTGGAGCCTTTTTGAAGTCAGAACTGAAACAGCATGTGACCAGGAAATGTCTGACCCACAGAGAGCTAAAAATAAGTGACTATGATGCTGCAAACTGCCAGGGCAGCAAGAGAACATGGGAGCGGGCACTAGGCCAATGGGGCCCTCCTCAAACTGGAAAAAGGAACCTCTTTATGGCAGACAAGCTGCTTCATAAACCTCTGGTGACAATTTTAAAATGTGCATGATACCACTTGGCAACCATAAACCACCAGCTACACTTGTATGACACCCACTGTTCCTGGGTGTTGCCATATCCCTTATTAATTTCATTTTTTCAAGTTGCTTCTAAGGCAGGTAGAGCAACTGTGTCTTTGTTTCGCAGATGACAGCAGCCAGGAGTAGAGGGCCAGTATCAGAATTCCAACTCACAGTCCTATGAAACTGCTTTCCTAGTGCCTTGATTTCTCATGTATTACTGGTAAAAGGAAAAATTAAAAGGCTACCCAAGGAACCAATACCCAAGCACAGAAAGATCTTGTTGGCAAAGCCCTGGGATGCTACACTTATCTAGTGTTTTCCTAAACATTTAAGAATGAAGAATTCTGTGTTTAAAGACTGGTTAAGTCCAAGCTAGGATGCCAGATGCCAAGTCAGTGAAATGAGTGGGCTGGACATGCAGGGACTGAGGCAGTCTGAGTGGACATGTTCTACACCTCTCTGGGCCTCTGCTTTCTCATCTGCAAAAGATGAGACCGACAATACCTCCATCGTGGACTGTTATAGTGAGAAACTTACTGTAATACATGGATACATGCAGAAAGCACTTGGAATGGGATATGAAGTCTGTTTGCAGTCTGTTTCAGGCCCTCCCACATGGGTGTGGCTGCAGAAGTAGCTTCCTCTGGAGTACTGTGAGGTCCTGCCTTAATCCTGTAAGCAGAGGTTGGACAGTAGGTGACAATGCCTGCTGGAGATGGAGGAGGAGCCCTGGAGAAACACCTTCTCCCTCAAAGCAGCTCACCCCCATCCTGAACCAAGCCAGTAACCCCAGCATAGTGGCTCTAACAGGACAGCACCATGGAAGAAGCCAGTGTGCATAGTGAGCTCCAGAAAGCAGGGTGATCTGGTCATCAGCCTCCCTGGGAACTCCCTCCCACACCGATCTCTCTCACAGCACAGTCAGTCACAAAACATCCCTTGACTATAAGCACCCTCAGAATAGTACCCAAGGCTTACTGATCTCTACATCCTGCCTGGTACCTAGGTATTGTAGCTGCTCAATGGATGTCTGATGAATTCCAAAGCATTTGATTAAAGACAATGATTTCCCTGGATTTTCTCCACTTAGACTCTTGAATCATGTTTATGTATATATAAATTTGAGCTAGAGGAGGGCCCTGTTGAAGA